CTGCCGCTCGGGAAACGATACACTACAAGATGTGAGTACTGTATGGTCGCGTCGTACGCGCCCCAGCCAAGGAGGACACATCGTACTCGTATGTCAATCTCCGCCCCGGAAGAGCTACACGCCCGTCTTTGAAAGTAGGTCTTGCTGGATTCCCAGATGCCAATCTACGACTTCTGCCGACCGACTGGCACGGTGCTGGGATCGCCAGAGCCCCGCGTGCGAGACAGATATGTCTGGAAGCTGTTCCCCGCACCTTGCTGGCTCCCGCCAGAGACTGAGAGGATTGTGCGAGAGTCGCATGTACGGGTGAACAAGCTTCCCGAGGACGATGAAGATGCGATCGTTTTTTATGCATTGTTTTCCCGATCGGCGCGGACCCCCAACCCCCCCCTCCTCTCCCCCCCGGAGTAGATTTTGTCTGTTTTTTGGCGACAGTTTCGAGTGGGTGGAGTCTTCCCCTGAGGCCGCACTCTTGCAAGCAGTTGCACTAAGCAGAGGTCCGGAGCCAGACCCCCCCCCGTTTCCGCCCAATGTCGAAACGCCGAACAAAACACGCTCACCAGAGATCGAGAGAATTATGCGAGAGTCGCATGTACGGGTGAACAAGCTTCTCGAGGACGATGCTGAAGATGAAGAGGAAGCAGAATTGACCATCGACGAAGATTGCAATGTGGCCCCGAATCAGCCTTCACGGGTGCCTCTCTCTGATGGATGTGCACTGCCTCTCTGCCTGCTCGCACAACAGAACATCACGTTGCATGGCATGACTGGTGCTGCTCCTGGCTTCTCTCGTCTCTTTCGAAGCGGTTGCCCCAGGGGGACCAATCTGGAGGTGGGCCCGTATCTGTCGAAAAAGAAAAACCGCATAAACAATTTTTTGGCGCTTCGATCGGATTTATTCGATCCGCGCCTGGCCCCCCCCCCGCGGCGCCTCCGGCGCCGCCCCTGGCGCGCTCCGCGCGCCAGGGAGGGGAGTCCAGCGCGAATCCAAGAAACCCGCGCGGAGCGCCAAAAGCTTACGTTTATGTGTTTTTCTTGTCCTAACATGTGATTTCTATCTCGTGGCATGACACCTGTTTCTATGTCTGTGTGTTTCCTGGCTTCTCTCGTCTCGTTCGGAGTGGCCTGCCCCGAGGGGGTGCGCCCGCCCTCCCGGGAAGCTGCCCTCTCGGCGTCCTCCTCGGAGTGCGCACGGTGGTCGCCGAGCTCCCTCTTACCTGGCCAGGCCACGGCTCTGAGCGCCGTGTGTCGCACAGGTGGTGGCTCTGCAGCCGAAGAGTTTGAGAAACAGTGTTGGGTCGGGCCTGTCCCTCTACGGGAGGAATGTTCAAGAATAGTACACAAATAGTCTGGGGACGATGTTTCGACAATGTTGGAGTATTTGTTTGGACTATTTTTCATCTGTCGCCCAAAATCCGCCTGTAGGGGGACATGCCCGACCTAAGAATAGTGCATCCTTCAGGTCATTGTGGTCGACGACGCGGCCACTTGCGTGAGGACTGGAGGATTCTGCGTTGGGCCCCTGAGGGCATTCTGCGGTTGCTGGTAACTATTGGGGGAATTGCATGTGTTCTTCTGAATTTCAGATCCTAGTATGATTTGGGCGCCTCCCCCTCCTTCAAGGGTCGAAGGGCCTTCTCTCTCTTCAGCTGGCGGGCCGAAACCCGATCTGCACTCAACGCTTTTCTGCCTCTGTTTCTGACTGCTTATCCCGACCGACCTGCGGGCCGCGGTGCCCCCCCCCCCCCGAGAGAGCCCCTGAAAGCACCGAGGCGGCCTGCCTCCAGGCGTATCCGCGGCCTCGCGGGCTGGGCCCCCGAACCGCCACCCCGCGGATGCGGGCCATTCCTCCTCGCAGATGCCACGCGCGGAACGCATCCGTGCGGCCCCGGAGTCTAGACCGCGAGGGGCTCGTGAGGAGGGGGGAGGAGGAGGAGGAGGAGGAGGAGGAGGAGGAGGAGGAGAGTAGGAGAGGGAGGAGGAGGAGGAGGGAGGATAAAGAGGAAGAGGAAGAGGAAAAGAGGAAGAGGAAGAGGAAGAGGAGGAGGAGGAGGAGGAGGAGGAGGAGGAGGAGGAGGAGGACCAGTGTAAACCCAAGAGTCACTAACGATGTTGGAATGAACCTTCCCTCCAAGCTCCCTCCCCGCAGGCCCCTACAATGGTTCATTTCCATAGAGGGAACTGCGTCGTTGGAAGACAACCGTTTGAAGATCCTGAAGCGTACTAAAACATTGCTTTCGGGATTTCAACGCCACGTATCAACTTGGCTGCTGCGTCTTGACGATCCGGAATCGTGCCAGAACGCCGTTATTGGGACTTCAACACCGCGAATCAACATAACTGTTGCGCCCGCATAATCCTGAATCCTTCTAAAACACAATGTCTGGTACGTTGGTCATGGGAACCCGTGAAACTCTTCTGAAACGAATGTACGCGGCGCTCAGGCGAGAGCTACATTTTGAAAAGGAACCGCCCTCAACCAGTGGAACTCTTCCAAACGTTTAAAACGAATGTGCGCGTCGTTAAGGCGAGAGCCACCTTTTGAAAAGGAACCGCCCTCAATCCGTGAAGCTCTTGCAATGTTGTGCAACGAATGTGCGCGGCGCTAAAGCGAGAGACACATTTTGAAAAAGAACAGCCCTCAACCCGTGAAACTCTTGCAAACGTTTGAAACGAATGTGCGCGGCACTTAGGCGAGAGCCACATTTTGAAAACGACCCGCCCTCAATCCGTGGAGCTCTTGCAGTTTTTAATTTGAAACAAGGAATGTGCACGGCTCTACGGCGAGAGCCACATTTTGAAACAACCCGCCCTCCATCTGTGAAACGGTTGTCACCTATCAGGCTTCAGGGTCACAAGTGGTAAGGAAGTCTCCGGCAAAACGCCCAGCCCGCCCTAACAACTGGCCTCGGGGTGCGACAGGGAGAAGTTATCCAGAAGGAGAAGGACTGGAGGAGGAGGAGGAGGAGGAAAAGGAGGAGGAGGAGGGAGAAGAGGAGGAAGAGGAGGAGGAGGAGGCGGAGGCGGAAGCGGAGGCGCGGACGAGGAGGAGGAGGGGGAGGAGGAGGGGGAGGAGGGGGAGGAGGAGGAGGAGGAGGAGGAGGAGGAGGAGAAGGAGGAAGAGGAACAGGAGGAGGAGGGGAGGAGGAGAAAGAGGAGGAGGAAGAGGATGATGATGATGATGATGATGAGGAGGAGGAGGAGGAGGAGGAGGAGGAGGAGGAGGAGAAATAATGATAATAGAAGACGAATGATTATTTTATTGCTACTAGTAATAACAAGTAGCAGAATAATAATACTCGTAAGAAGAAGAAGAAGAGGGGGAGGATGATGAGGAGGAGGATTTGGGGGAGGAGGCGCGCCCGCGGGCGGCCCGGGGGGATTGGGCGAAGGACGAGCGGTGCGGGGTCGCCACCATGGCCGCGGCCACGGCCGATTCGAGGGGAGCAGGCGGGAGCAGGGGGGGAGGGTGGGGGGGGGGCGCGAGTGGAAGCGGGAGGGAGGGGGGGGGGTGCGAGTGAGGAGCGAGGCGAGCGGGGAGGGAGGAAGAGGCGAGTGGGCTGTGGGGGAGGAGGGGGCGAGTGGGCGTAGGGGGGGAGGCATGTGGGCGGAGTGTGTGTGTGTGTGTGTGTGTGTGTGTGTGTGTGTGTGTGTGGGAGGGGGACGGGAGCGGGCGGGAGGGAGGGAGGGAGGGGGGCACGGGGGGGTGACTCGCCGTACAGGCAGGCCGAGTCCCAGGGAGGAGAAGGAGTTTGAGGCGGAGGAGGAGGGAGGCAGGAGGAGGAAGAGGAGGGAGGACTAAAGGATGGCGATGATGATGGTGATGATGATGATGATGATGATGATGAGGAGGATGAAGTTGCTGATGATCATGATGATGATGGTGATGCTGATGATGCTGCTGATGATGATGAGGATGATGCTGCCGATGATGATGATGATGCTGATGGTGATGCTGAGGATGATGCTGATGATGATGATGCTGATGATCATGATGCTGCTGATGATGATGCCGGTGATGGTGTTGATGATGCTGATGTTGCTGATGCTGACGCTGATGCTGATGATAATGCTGATTGGTGTGGTGATGCTGAAGCTGATGATGTTGCTGCTGATGATGATGGTGATGACGCTGATGATGCTGATTATGCTGATGCTAATGCTGATGATGATGGTGGTGTTGATGATGATGATGATGATGCTGATGCTGATGACGGTGATGACGGCGGTGATGATGCGGATGATGATAGTGATGCTGGTTGTGGTGATGAAGATGGTGATGACGACGATGCTGCTGCTGACGGTGATGAAGACGATGACCATGTTGAGGATGATGAGGATGAGGATGATGGTGATGAAGATGCCGATTATGATGATGGCGATGCCGATGCCGATGCTGCTGATTATGATGATGGTGATGTTGATGATTGTGATGATGATGATGATGGTGGTGATGGTGATGATGATGATGCTGGAAATGCTGATCGCGGTTGTGATGGTGATGGTGATGGTGCTGGTAATGATGATGCTGATGATGTCGCTGATGATGATGACGATGATGACGATGGTGATAATAATGAGAATGACGATGGTGATGCTGATGATGATGATGATGATGATGATGATGATGATGATGGTGGTGATTATGATGCTGATGATGCTGCTGGTGGTGCTGTTGCTGCTGATGATGATATGATCGTGGTGGTGGTAATGATGATGATGCTGATGATGATGATGATGCTGTTGATGATGATGATGCTGATCATGCTGATCATGGTGCTGATGATGTTGATGATGCTGCTGATGATGATGCTTGTGATGGTGATGGTGATAGTGATGATGGTGATGATGATGAGGAGGGACACGAGATATGATGATGATGATGATGATGATGATGATGATGGTGATGATGGTGATGATGATAGTGATGCAGTGGTCAGGACATGAGGATAAGAAGGATGACGGAGGGAATGCGAGTCGCTACACCGAAACACGTGCAGCAGCGTCTCACGTTGGGTGCAGTGGGTGCACTTTGAGTTTTGCAGTCTTGAGTTGTGCCGGGCTAGCCACGTATCATATTTTGAGCCGCCATCTCCGCACTAATAAGTCACAAAATTCCGTAGTCGTTTGGGCCCAAGCCCTTCACTACGAGCGCACAGCCTGTTGTCTGCCAACACCCGATCCCTAATTATCCGCAGCGCTCGATCATATGAGGCGGCTTCAGTGGGCCTGGATTGCAATCCTCGTCCCCGCGCACGTCTCGGCCGCGCGGCGCGTGCCGATCGATGGCGACGGGCGTAGCCGGGCGTCGCCAATCTTCGACGGCAAGATTGACGTTGCGCCGTTCTTCCAGATGAGAGTGCTAGACATCAGGGGATCGAAGACGGAAAACCGGCATAAACATGAATTTTCGGCGCTGCGCGGGGATTTCTTGGATCTGCGCTGGGACCCCTGGCGGCGCCCTTGGCGCCGTCCCTGGCGCGCGAAAGGGGTCGAGCGCAGGTCCAAGAAATCCGCGCGGGCATCCAAAAGTTTATGGTTATGCCGTTTCTTCGCCCTCCACGGGAGGATTCGATACCGACACCGATGCGCTTCATCGTTTCCACTTTTGTTCCTCTCCCGAGGGGCCTCGTGGTCACAGCTGGATGCGCCTCGGACTCAGGTTCAGAACGCGCCCTGCGAGCCATCCTGGGAGCAGCAGTGTCGGTGTTGTTTTTCTCTTTCCCAGGACAAGGGTAATGCTCGTCTGATCCAGGATAGCCGCGACAAGTATTTCGCCGGTGGTCGCGCGCACAAGTGTTGCTGTGATGGAAATAGTTGCAAGGTGTTCGATTTAGCAGCGGTGAACTCATGTGACGGCAGCACATTCGGCGAGTTCCGGGACAGGGATGGATGCGGGTGTCTGGCTGGATTTGGCTGGAAAAGTTTCCGAAAGATTTCATCAGGAGTTCACGCCAGCATCAGCATGTGCCGTGTCGGCGTCGCCGATGCCATGCAAACGTTCAACAAGAGCAGCGAACAGGAGTTGCAGCAGGCGCTCCAGGAGGCCGCGCAGAGGCGCATCATGACAGGCCAAACCGGAGAATGGGTGGCGACATACAGCGAGTGCCCCGCGACTTGTGGCGTCGCAAAGATGCAAAAGGTGAGCATGCAGCCCTCGGACAAAGTGCGGCAGGCTCCCGGTGCACCGCCAGCTTTTCCGGATGAGATCGAGTGCAGGGACATCCGCTCTTGCAAATACCAGTGCAGCATGGGCGATGAGTGTGGTTGGGGATCCGTGTCCTGCGTGGATGGCTCGGGAGCCCAAGGTACACTCTGCGCCGTGAGGGAGGTGTTGGACCCCACCTTCCCGTCGCCTGTGGACTACCGTCTCCACAACTGTTTCAAGCAGTGTGCACAGCCGCACGGGCTTCAAAGTCTGTGTGCAGTTTCGTCGAACCATCTCGACGAGCAGTACGGGAGCCTAGCCACGCTCATGAAAAACACGTGTTTCGATGGCGATGCGGAAAAGCCAGACGTTGTCGCGGTGATGACTCAGGAATTGAACCATGCTTCTTCCAATCCAATGGCTTCAAACAATTTCCCGTCCTTGGTGTCTGGAAACTCTTTGAATGGCTACGTACGCGTCGGCATATGTGCACCACCGATGTCTGCCAACACTGCCTTGTACGTCAAGGATGGTATGACCAGCCGAGTATTCAACGAAAAGGTGTCTTGTGAGATGATGAAAAGTGAGTGCGGGTGGACGAACTGCAAGGGTAATTCCATCATGACCGTTTACACCTCAAGTGGCACCCTGGTGGTCGGCAACTGGCATGGCGCGCGCGGCCCTACAGTGAGTGAAGACCGCATCAAAGAGTTCGAAGAGGCAGTTGGTTTCATGTCGAGCGTGCTGCCCTTCCAGGGCAAGAAGCACGTCGTCTGGGGGGGCGATACCAATGTGCGCTCGGCGTTCCCAGACGGGTACCAGCCCTCGAAGGAGGTGCAGACGCCAGAGGAGATTCATGCGCTGATTCTCTCCGACGTGCTGGGAAGGCCAGGTTGGTCTGTCGACGACCACTTGAGTGGCAGGGTAGGGTTCGACGCCACCGTCCGGGATTACCTGCAGAAATCGCCGCTGAGGCAGGCGCAGGATTGGAACAAGCTCTGCCCCACTTATATGAAGAGCGACAAGCCTGCCCGGCTGGAGACGGTCAAGGAGTGGACCGGTGAGTACGACACGAACGTGTTCGGCTACAGGAGCAAAAGAATGAAGAAGGTCACCCGTGAGCGCCCGAACATCGCTTGCCGAACACCGGCGGACCAGCTGGCGGGCGGGGGCCCGCGAGTGGAATACCTGAACTTTGCGCGCCCGGGCGGGGCGAGCAGCAGGGCTCCGTCGTGGACGGAGCGCATCTTCCTGTCGGAGTCCCTCCACGGCAGCTGCGGCAAGCTGATGAAGGACATCCGCAACAGGCAGGACGACCACGACCCCGTCTTCGTGCGCTGCTCCCTCGCGGCCTGACGCGGTGTCTCTGTGCCCTGCTCCCCCTCGCCGCTGCCTGGTTGAGATCTCACCATCGCCGCACTGGGCACAGAGGACCGAAACGTCACCTGTCTACTGGGGGCGAGTTGTCAGTGCGTGGGTGGGGGGGCATGGCTGCGCGGGCGCGTCGGCACTTGGATGCGTGCGCTTGCAGGTGCGTGCGTGCAGCTAGCACTGCGCTGCCACTCAGCCGGCTGCTCTCTCTCTCTCTCTCTCTCTTTCTCTCTCTTTCTCTCTCTCTCTCTCTCTCCCTCCCTCCCTCCATCCCTTTGTTAAGGGCTTCACGACTTCTGCCGTTCCTCGACTCGCGCTGGAGCGGCCACGATTTGCTCAAAATGTCCTTGGAGATCTTTGGATTTACCTGGATTTGCCCAGATTTACGCGCATTCACCTGGAGCTACCTCGATCTATCAGCATTTGCCTTCATTTTTCTGGCCTGATCCCCACATAATTCGATGTGCGGAAAGTCGCCAAGCCCTTGGAGATCCCTCAATCCCTCTCTCCCTCTCTCTGATTTTTCCTTCTCTCGGGGGAACCAACAGGTACTGATACCGCTACTCCCCAGACATCTCCCAGGGTGCGTGCTTACCAGGATTTCGAGGCGAATCCAGCGGTGACGACGAGGGCTTCCCAGGAGGCCCAACAAGGGGCAAACGAGGCAAGGGTAGCGGTTTGGGTACCTCTTCTTCCTCCGATCTCTCCCTTGCTCCCTCTCTCCCTCCACCCCTTCCACGTGGTGTCAGAGACCAGCGGGCCGACGTCATCGAGACTTCAGCCTGCCGCGCCCGCGCCTCGCAGTCTTGGCCAGAGCTGCCCCGCTGCACGATGCGGCGCGAGGGCGCGAAGAGAAGCCGCGCTGCCCTTCGCGTGGCGCGCTGCCTGAGGTCCCCCTCCGTCGCTGCGGGTGGCCCGGGGGCAGGTCGTCTTCACCACCGGTCCCCTTCGCCAGAGGTCGTCTTCGCCCGGTCGTCTCCGCCCGATCATCTTCACCAGGGGCCGTCTTCGCCCATGGTCGTCTTACGCCCGTGGTCATCTTCGCCCGTGGTCGTCTTCGCCCGTGGTCGTTTTTGTTGCACGGTCGTCTTTCTTCGCGTCCTCGTTCGGTCGTCGTCGTATGCCAGCCTTCGCCCAGTTTTTTGCCGCCGGCCGCCCGCCCGATAACGTGTCCGTTCGCCCCGCCCGCCAGTGGGGTTTGCCCGCCCGGCCTTCTTGTTCTGGCCCGCCTCTTCGTATGCTTGTACCGCCCTCGTCTTCGCTCCTTCCTCTTGCGCGCTGGCCAATTCGCCTTTCGGTTGCCCCGATAAGCCTCACGCTAGAACGGACTGCCTCTGCCTCGCCGCCGACGGAAAATGTACGCTTGCTTGCAAGTCCGCCCGACCGCTTCAACGCCCCACCCGCCCGACCACCGCCAGGGTCGGTCTGCCCGCCCGTCCCGCCCACCAGGGCCTGCCCGCCAGGCCCGTGTACGGGTCCGCTCGCCAACTGGCTTTCTGCTGCGCCCGAACGTTTTTGATGTCCCGCCCGAGCGCCTTCCCCGTCGTCTTGGTCTGCCTGACCCGCCCGTTGGGGTCTGCCCGCCCGACCCGCCCGTCACAATCGGCCTGCCCAAGACGCCCGTTCATTCGCCCGCTGGCTGGTTTTGCAGCCCGCCAGTCCGCTTGAATGTCATGCCCGCCTGACCCGCCTGTTAGGGTCCGCCAGCCTGACTGCCGGCTAAGTCGAACGCCGGCGATGGCCACCGCCAGCAAAGACGGCCGCTGGATGCCGGCGAAGCCGACATCGGCACGAAGACACCGCCAGCGAAGTCGATGTGTGCCGAGCAGAGCAGACTCTGAGGATGGCATAGCAAAGCTGCAATAATTCCCATAGTTGTGTTGTCTCACGTGCTGGTTGGTCTTGCTGCCTCTGGTTGGTAGGTTTGGTTTATTGTCTGGTTCCCGACCCCGAGAGAGGGAAGGCCACCCGGAGGGAGGAGGAGGAGGAGGATTAGGAGGAGGAGGAGGAGGAGGAGGAGGAGGAGTCCGAGAGGGGGAAGGCCACCCGGAGGCCAGGCCAGTGGCTGCACGCTCCCACAGCTCCCGCTTCCGCCGTGTTTCGCGCGTACGTGGCCCCGGTCTCTTTCTTTCGGTGGACCTGGACACTGACACCGCTGTACGGTGGGTTCGCGTCGTGTCGACCGGCGGCGACCCCGCCGCGGGCGTTCAAGGTCGAACGCCGCCAGTGGCCCAGAATCGGCCTATACAGAACGTTCGAGCGATCGAGAGTCGCCGATCGTGTAAGGTTGAACGATCCACGCGGTGTCAGAAACCAACGCCGGGGTCGTCACGACACGAACCTGCCGTGGCGGCTGAGATGTGGTAGCGCGTTGCTAGGCGAGGCCAGGGCTTCCCACAGCAAAGCGCTACCAGATGTCAGCTGCTCCTGGTCTACAGTCTACTGGGGACATTGCAAATATCTGAGCCTATCATCTCTCTTCACTTGTCCGACTCTGGGCCAACTTCAGCTTTGTATCATATGCAATGGAAGATGTTTGCGCGTATTCCACTGCATCCCTTCAGGTGATCTGCGGCGACCACGTGCTTCAGGCTGAGTAGCACGTAGCGCGCCTTGCTCTGTAGAGGGGGCTTGTCCCGTGAAACGGAAGCCGATAGTGTCTCATCGTTTGGATCATATGTGCGCCAGACGTATTTGAGGGATGGCAGATTCGACGGTGGAGTGCAAGGGCTCTATGATGAGTAGGCAGGGAAGGAAAACGGTATGAAGAGTAGGAGGTGGAGGAGCAAGGACGGAGAGGAGGAGGAGTGAGGAAAGAGAGGAGGAGAAGGAGGAGGATGAGGAGGAGAACTATCAGACTGGAGGAAGAGGGCGGCAGGAGGCTCAGATGATCAGAAGCCGGAGGACAAGTTGAGGTCAATGGTGGGTCACGGGGCAGAGGAAGTCCGCAGGAGGCTGGGAGGAGGAGGAGGAGGAGAAGGAGGAGGAGGAGGAGGGAGGAAGGAGGAGGAGGAGGAGGAGGAGGAGGAGGAAGTTTCGCGTTCTGGTGGCCACGAAGGGTATGTAGGAGGGTCACGGACGGTTTTAGCTGGACAGAAGGATCGGGAGTCGGGCGTTGGGAGGTCACAGGAGAAGGGAGGGGATGAAGAATCTGCCACCAGGACAGGGGGAGGAGGAGGATTGTGGTAGTTGGGTTTGACCAGTGGGATGGCAGAAGGGAAAGCAGAAGGAGGGGGGCGACGACGCTAAGGAGAGGGATGAGGAGGAGAAGATGCGGGTGCTGTAAAAAAGGGGTTGCAGCCCTTCGCGGCCCACTCGCTGCCCTAGCCCTTCGTGGCCACCTCGCTGCCCTCAGTGGCCCCGTCCTTGCCCTCTGCGGCCCAATATACGTATGCCCTTCGTGGCCCCCGCTCGTTCGCGCCCGTCGCGGCCCCATACGCATGCCCTTCGTGGCCCCGCTGTCGCTCTGGTTCTCGCTCTCGCTCTCGCTTTCGCTCGTCGTCGCCGCCGCCGTTGTCGTCGTCGTCGTCCTCGTCGTCGTCGTCGTTGTGGTCGGTCCCCTGTCCGTCCCTGTTGGGGTCGGATTGCCGCCGGTCAGCGTTGCCACCACTGGCCAGGCCGACGGTCCGCGGCCGCCCCGTCGCTTGCCGGGGCCCGGCCTGCAGGGAAGAAAGATATATCCCCAAAAGGGATATGATCGAAGACGACGAGGGCGGGTATCGAGGGTTCGGGAAATGCACGTTGACGGACACTCGACCAGATATGAGCGAACAGTCTCAAACTTGTTGTTGTTGTTGCTTGTTGTTGTTGATGGTGTTGGTGTTGTTGTTTGTGTTGTTGGTGTTGGTGTTGGTGTTGATGCTGTTGTTGGTGGTGTGTGTGTGTGTGTTGTTGTTGTCGTTGTTGGTGGTGGCGGTGTGTTTGTTGTATTTGTTGTGTGCGTGTTGTTGTTGGTTGGTGGCGTTGTTGTTGTTGTTGCTACTGTTGCTGTTGATGTTGTTAATGTTGGTATCGCTATATCTGTCTCTGTCGGTCTCTGGGACAATTGCTTATTTGCTATATATATACATATGTATACTGTTGATTTGTTGTGTTGTTATTGTATGTTTTTCTCTTGTCTATATATATATATATATTTGTTTGTTTCTCTCTCTCTCTCTGTCCCTCTCTCTATCTGGCCAGGGGCATCCCATTGCAGGGCGACTCTGGAAGTTACCTTGTTTAACGGCGAACACATATCCAGAATCTACTAAATGCTGGGAGGACGCTCTTCGTTTCTGGTTGTTGCTGCTGCCGTGCTTGCAGGGATAGGCGTGCACTCTCTCTTTCTCGTTCCCCCCCCGCGCATGTTGAAGAATTTGGCGTTGAGGCCGGAGTGGCTCGATCGTGAATCGCGGAGCGCTGCTCGATCGGTTGGTCGCGACCCGATCGCGATCCGGCCGCGGTTCGGGCAGCGCCTGCGGACGACGTGGCGAATAGGCGCATCGGTAGGCGCAAGTTAGCCAGGTCAAGAGATTCAGAGGGCCCCCCCACACAACATACAGTCGGGGCCCTGAAGAAGGAACCCTTTTCGTTGGGGAGGGGCTCCGTGTTCCTTAATTGTTTCGCAGCTTGCCTTGGATTTTCCTTAGTTTTTCGATGCGAGATCGAAGTTTAACTTATGGAGAATAGGGGCCTCGTTCCTTATTTAGGGTTCCTTAGGTCAACGCCCCGACTGTAATGATCAAGTGCGGCAGCTGGATGCGGGGATTGGGAACGCGCTCCCGCGCAGCAGACGGAAGCCGCTCGCGCGCGGCCCCGCGTCCGACGACCTGGCACATGGAAACCCACGCGGGCCTCGCAGGGGCGGGAGCGGCAACGCGTCCGATGGGCGTGGCGAAGGCGAGGCACACAGCACTGCCGCGTGGATTCGCAAAGTGCGCAGCGTTTGAGCGAGGTCGGCATTTCGCCCGCTCTCGCACGGCCACGCTGCCGCAGTCGCTATGATGCGATCTGGCGAACGACGAACCATGCTCCGCGCCCGTGTGCGCGGGTCCCCACAAGTTTGTGAGCGAAAGAGATGCGCCGCGCCGAAGCAGGAATTCCATTTTCTCGCGAAATCTGAGCGGTGTCGACGCGAAAACTACATTTTCGTCTGGTCGCGCGTCGAAAACGTTGCGTTCGAAGAATGCTGGCCTCGCCCACGTGGAGTCTCTAGAAAACCGAGCGCGTTTCTGTGGCGAGAGCGGCATTGCGGCGTTTCGCGAAGGATGCGCGTCCCGTCCCGCCATCGTCACGCAGTTGACAACATGGGCGACTTAATGTCCATGCTATAAACGGAAACTCCGACTTTTGATTGTTTCTTTTTCACAATTACGAGGGGACGGCCCGGATTGGCCAATTATCGGCCAAAGGTGTGTTTTCTGTGTGTTGTGTGTTGTGTGCGTGTGTTGTGTGTCGTGTGTGATATGTGTGACGTATGTGCGCACAGCGTGCGTATGTGTGTTATGTGTGTTAGGTGTTTCGTGTGTGTGTGTGTGTGCGTGCTTATGTGACTGCGTTGTGTATGTGCTGTTTGTATGTGGTTTCT